AGGGGAGCTGCTGCTGGCAGGTTCTGAGCAGAAGAGCACCCCATGTGACTTTTGTGAAGGATCCCTCTGGCTGCAGGTTGAGAGCAGACTATAGGGTTGGCAGGGGCAACAAGACCAGTTCGGAGACCACTGCAAGAGGCAGGTGAGAGACGAAGGTAGCGGCACGAGGCTGGGGGTGGGAAGCAGGAGCACTATGGGAGTGCTTACAGGCGATGGCCATGGCTATCAAAATTGGACGGTGAATTAAACGAAGGGTATGACAGATAGAAAGGATTCGAGGATGACTTCAAGGTTTTTGGCCTGAGTAACTGAAATGGAGTTGCTGTTCACTAACAAAAGAAAAACCAATGTTTAGAACCTCCTATAGCACTGGGAAGAGAAGGCTGTGATGGAGGTGTGGGAAGGAAGAAGATAAGCTGAGTTTGAGAGGTCTTGTGGTCAGTACAGTGGAAATGTCAAAGAGGAGATTGGGTGTAGCTATCTGGAGTCAAGGGGAGAACTCAGGCTGGAGAAATAAACAAAATGTGGTGGTGCTTGGAGGTAATCCAAGTCTAGACAAGATCTCCAAGGTCAAGAAGAGTGTGGGGAAGTAAGCTTCATCCCAGGGATGCAGGGGTGGTTCAACATACGAAAATCAATAAACGTCATAAACCACATTAACAGAAGCAAAGACAAAAACCACTTGATCATCTCAATAGATACAGAAAAAGCCTTTGATAAGATCCAACACCATTTCATGATAAAAGCTCTAAGAAAACTAGGAATAGAAGGAAAGTACCTCACCATTATAAAAGCTGATATATACAAACTACAGCCAGCTCTATACTTAACGGAGAAAAACTGAAACATCCCTCTAAATCAGGAAACCAGACAAGGATGCCACTATCTCTACTTCTATTCAACATAGTACTGGAATTCCTAGCCAGAGCAATTAGGCAAGAAGAAGGAATAAAAAGAATGCAAATAGGTAAAGAAGCTGTCAAAATATCCCTATTTGCAGACAATATGATCTTAAACCTTAAAGACCCAAAAAGCTACTCAAAAGCTCCTAGAGCAAGGTAGCAGGATATATAATCAACATAGAAAAACCATTAGCATTTCTATACACTAATAATGAACAAACTGAGAAAGAATATATGAAAACAATTCCATTTACAATAATAGCCTCAAAAAAAAAAAATCAAATACCTAGGTGTAAACCTAACAAAAGATGTGAATGACCTCTACAAGGAAAACTATAAACTTCTGAAGAAAGAGATTGAGGAAGACTATAGAAAGTGGAGAGATCTCCCACACGCATGGATTGGTACAATCAACATAGTAAAAATGTCAATACTCCCAAAAGTAATCTACATGTTTAATGCAATTCCCATCAAAATTCCAACGACATTCATTAAAGAGATTGAAAAATCTACCGTTAAATTTATATGGAAACACAAGAGGCCATGAATAGCTAAGGCAATACTCAGTCAAAAGAACAATGCAGGAGGTATCACGATACCCGACTTCACTATATTACCAAGCAATAACAATAAAAACAGCATGGTACTGACACAAAAGAGACATGAAACCAGTGGAACAGAATAGAGGAACAAGATTGAACCACACACTATAAGCAATATCTTGACAAAGAAGCTAATAAATATACGATGGAGAAATAGCAGCCTCTTCAACTAAAAAACTGCTGGGAAACTGGTAAGCAGTCTGCAAAAAACTAAATAGATCCATGTATATCACCGTATACCAAGATTAACTCCAAAATGATCAAGATCTTAATATCACCCAAAATCTAAAACCTTGTAACAGAAAGTAGGAAATACTCTGGAGTTAGTAGTATAGATAGAATTCTCACGAAACCCCAGCAGCACAGCAACTAAGAGACAGTCAACAAAAACTCTGGGAAACTGGTTAGCAGTCTGCAAAACAATGAAACTAGATCCATGTATATCACCCATACCAGATTAACTCAAAATGGATCAAGGATCTTTAATATCAGACCAAAACTCTAAAACTTGGTACAGGAAAGAGTAGGAAATACTCTGGAGTTAGTAGGTATAGAATAAGAACTTTCTCAACGAACCCCAGCAGCACAGCAACTAAGAGAACAGGCATAGATAAATGGGACTTCTAAAACTAAAAAGCTTCTGCTCATCAAAAGAAATGGTCTCTAAACTGAAGAGACCACCCACAGATGGGAGAAATATTTGCCAGCTACACATGCAAGAGGGACTGATAACCAGAATATATAGGGAACTCAAAAAACAAATTCTCCAAAATTAATGAACAATAAGAATGGGCAGTGAACTAAACAGAACTTTCTCAAAAGAGTGAGTTCAAATGGCCAAAACACATTGGATAAAACTGCTACCATCTCTAGCAATAAAGGAAATGCATATTTATTAAAACCACACTAAGATTCCACCTCACCCCTTTAGAATAGCCATCATCACCAGCAACACCACCAACACAGGTATTGGCGGAGGATGCGGGGGAAATGGAAAAAAATTTGGAGGCTTACTTAAAAAAGCTAAGACACTTGATCTATACATTTGATCCAGCAATACCACTCTGGGGATATACCCCAAAAGACTGTGACACAGGTTACTCCAGAGGCACCTGCACACCCATGTTTATTGCAGCACTATTCACAATAGCCAAGTTATGGAAACAGCCCAAGATGCCCCACTACTGACGAATGGATTAAGAAATGTGGTATCATATACCCAATGGAATTTTTGTGCCAGCCATGACAGAAGAACGAAATGTTTATCGTTTTGCTGGTAAATGGGATGGGAATTGAGAACATCATTCTGAGTGAGTTAGCCCCTAGCCCAAAAAGAACCAAACATCAATATGTTTCCCTCATATGATGGAACATTTTGATCAAGGAACAAACACAACAAAGGGAAATTGGACTTTGATCACAATGATAAAGTGAAGCACACAAGGGAGGGGTGAGGATAGGTAACACCCAAAAAACCTAGATAGCATTTGTTTGCCCTCAACCAGAGAAACTAAAGCAGAATACTTAAAGCAACTGAGGAGTAACACACATGCACAGGAAATCAATGTGAGTCAACTCCCTGTAGAGCTATCCTTACCTCAACTAGCAAAAACCCTTGATCCTTCCTATTACTGCTTATACTGTCTCTTCAACAAAATTAGAGATAAGGGCAAAATAGTTTCTGCCGGGTAGGGAGGGGGTGGGGGGGAGAGGGAGGGGGCGGGGGGGTGAGGGAAGGGGTGGGGGAAGGGGGGAAAATGATCCAAACATTGTATGCACATATGAATAAAATAAAATTAAAAAAAAAAAAAAGAAGAGTGTGGGGACATTAAGAGCATAGAAGCAAGCTGGGTGTGGCAGTGCATACCTATAATCCCAGCACTGGGAAGGCGGAGGCTAACCTGGGCTACATACTAAGACCAGAGAGAGAAAGAGAAAGAGAGAGACAGAGAGAGAGAGAGAGAATGAATATAGGAGGATGAGAATGAACTAGTCAAGGAGGCCGAGCAGGAGCAGCCAGGGGGCAGGAAGACAGCTGCTCCAGAAAAGAAGCTCAAAAGGGGAGCTGCCAGCTGTGCCACAGTGCTAGGCATAATGAGGACCAGAAATGGCCATTCCATCTGGCAAGTGGAGGCCACTGGTGACCTGGCCAGAGTACATGGAGTGGACAGGAGGGGCAGAGCTGATGAGGTAGGTTCAGGAGGGGACAGGAGTAGAGGCTTTCTGGGAACCATAAGCAGCAACTCTTTGGATGGCTTTGACAAAGTAGGGAGCAGAGAAATGGAACAGTAGCTGGAGCAAGGGTGCGAGGCCAAGAGAAGATTTAGCACAAGTAAGAGAAACAGCAGCAGAAGTGTAGGAACTTTAAGATACAGGAGAGGAGAAGACTGCTGGACCAACGCCCTTGGGGGGCTGAGAGGTCAGAGGCACACATCCTCCACTCCCTCTTGGCCTGTCTCACTCCTACTCATCCCTCAAGGGTCAGCACAAAGGTCACTTTCTCAGGGAAGCATTACTGGCCCCTCCAGTTAGGTCAGTTCTCCGCAGTGCCCTTTCACAGCATGTGATGCTTCTGCTTCACAACACTTCCAAACTCTGTGGGGATATGGAAGCCACGTGAGGGCAGGAGCTGGCTCCATCCCGTCCCCAGCAGCCAGCACACTGCCTAACACACTGTAACATTCGCTGGATATCTGGGAAAAGGATAAATGGTTCAAGAACAGAACAGAAACAAGTTGGAACACACGTGCTTGACTTATGCTCCCAAATGATTTAATCACGTTGCAATGACTGGGACGATGCAGCCACCGGTTGCTGCAAATATTTGGACTTAGAAAAGCTCAGTAGCTTGTTCCTGTTTCGGACTCTGCAGCTTGCTAATACACAGATCAGTCACATGACCGGACACTGACAGCCTTCTCTTGAAACTGTCCACTATGAACTGAGTGCATTCCATATCATGTTTAGCAATTCATTCATTTAGTGAATAACTTGCTGAAAGCCACATTCTAGGGATGTGTGACTGAGTCAGACCCCAGTACCCTATCCTAAGTGGAGCCTTAGGTCTAGATGTTACATGAGAAAAGGCCTGGCATTAAATGAGAGACATAAGAAGTCAGAGGGTTCTGAGGGAGAAAGGAAAAGGGAGAGGGAATAAAGCAATCCTCCCTCCACCGCCCCTCACCAATTGTCAAGCCTGGAATGGCAGAGCCTATGGCCAGGGCCTCTAGATTGCCCAGACCTCCTTTCCCTAGTCTCTACCCCCTATCCTCCAGTGCTTCCCCAAACAGCTGCTTGACCTCTTCTGACTCCAGGAGGAGTAGAAATCTTGCCTGCTTGAGCTGCGTTTGGGGATTTCCTGTCTGTAAAAAGGTTGTGGATCAATGATGGCCCAGGCCGCTGGCAGAGATGGGCCCATCTACTGATCTCCCCTCTGTTATTTTTCAGTGCTTTCATGGTTTCATTCAAAAGAATAACCACCCCACTTGCAAGGACCATGAGGCCACTGTGGTGTCGTGGCTGGTGGCTGGGACTGCTGGCCCCCTGGAGCTGCCTGCAGGCCCGCGAGGATGGTTTTTGAGGGCACGGAGGAGGGCTCCACCGCGAGAGTACCTTTTACTCAACAGGTATAGCGGGCAGAGGCGAGTCCCCGGACAAGTGCACCTAACGTTCATTGTGCCCCAGCAGCTGGTGCACGGGAGCCATATGGCGTCAATTCCAAGGAGCCCGAAGGTGCTCTGGAGAACCGCGTGCATAAGCAGGAGCTTGGGAGCTGCTCAACAACGAGCTGGCTCAAGCAGAAAGCGGCAAGATCGAGACGCTGCAACAGCTGGGTGGAGGTGGAGGTGGCATCGTGAAGTGAGGGTGAAGCTGCTGCGCAAGGAGAGCCGCAATATGGAACTCACGCGTCACAGTATCAGCTCTACATGCAGCTACTGCACGAGTATTCATCGTAAGCGAGACAATGCCGTTGGAGCTCTCCCCAGCTTTGGAGAACGCGCATCCTCACCAGACGGCCGACATGCTGCAGCTGGCCAGCAAGTACTCAAGGACCTGGAGCACAAGTACCAGCACCTGGCCGACACTGGCCCAACAACCTAAATCGGAGGTCAAATCGCGCAGCGCTCGAGGAAGCACTGCAGAGGGTGCCTGCAGCCAGGCCTGTTGCCCCAGACGCCCTGCGGCCCCGCCACAGGTCTACAGCCGCCACCTAAACAACCGCATTCATCAACCCAGAATTCTCTTTAACCCATGAGATCCAGAGGCGACCAGAACCTGAAGGTGCTGCACCCCTCTGCCACCATGCCTGCCCTCTCACGCAGCCTCCCATCCTCTATGCCGACAAGCGTCAGGTAAGTCCTTCTGGGCCTCAAGAGCCAGGCACTAAGCTTCCCTGGCTGTGACCACAAGTGGGGAAGAGCCAGGTACTTGCACAATCCTTAGCGATCTCTTGGGAACAAGGCCGCTGGGACAGTGGGGTGAGGAGGGAACCACATGGTTAAGATGGATGCTCACAGGTACAAGTGGGAAGTAAGGCGTTCCCAAGGGCTGTGCTTTCGCTTGGGTTCTGGCATGGGAGTGCTCTGTGTTGTGTGAGGAATGGCTCTCCTGTGGGCCTGTGCAGTGGTGCAGAGCAAAGCTGGCATTCTATAAATGTCACCCAAAAACCAGGAGGCCTAAGGGGAAGAGCACTGTCCCATGCTTGAAGGTATGATAAACCACCACCACAGGGGCCGGTTGGATGTGGGATGGGGCACTTCTCTAAGCCGCGTAGCTTTTCCCACAACCTGCGTTGCCTAGGATTTTCAATGGGGTTCTTTGGGTTTGGTTCTTTGTGGTTTTTTTTGGTTTGTTAGTTTGAAGACCAGGGACCTTACTATGTAGACCAGCTTGGTTCCTGGAATGCGTGATCCTCTTTGCTTCGCCTTCTAAGTGCTGAGATTACAGTTGGTGCTCTCCGCCACCCAGCTCAATAACACCCCCAGCACCCTGTACTGAGGTTTGACCTCTGGTCTTGTACTTGGTCCACTCCAGCCAGCCCTATGGTTCTCAGGAACTAAGCAGAAGGAATTGGAGGGTCGCTGGCAGTAGGGCCAGCAGCTGGCATCTTTATGCGTGTTATTTAATAACCCCAAGCTCCTGAAAGACAGGTTAGGTAACTTGCTCACAGGCTTAGGATCCTTACTTTAAATCTTTTTTTTTTCTTTCAATTCATATGTGCATCAATGTTGGGTCATTTCTCCCCCTTCCCCCCGCCACCAGGCAGAAACTATTTTTGCCCCTTATCTCTAATTTTGTTGAAGAGAGAGTATAAGCAATAATAGGAAGGAACCAGGGTTTTTGCTAAGTTGAAGATAAGGATAGCTATACACGGGAAGTTTAACTCACATTGCTTTTCTGTAACATATGGTGTTACCCTTCTAATTAATTCCTTTCCTTGGAACTTTAACCTTTTTCTCTAGTTTCCTGTCCCCTTCTCCTATGGCTCTGTTGCTTTAAAGTTTCCTGCATTAGTTTCTTTGCATTGAGGATTCAAAATGCTATCTTTGTTTTTTTTTTGGGTGTCTTCCTATCCTCATACCTCCCTTGTGGTGCTCTCGGTCTTTATCAATTGGATCAAAGTCCATCCCCTTGTTGTGTTTGCCCTTGATCTAAAGTCCCGCATCATGAGGGAGAACAATAATGCCTTTTGGGTCTTCTGGGCCTGCCTAACCTCGCTCAAGGATGAATGTTCTCCAGTTTCTATCCATTTACCTGCAACTGGTAAGATTTCATTCTTCTTCATGACTTATCCATTCATGAATCTTTAATCATTTCATGAATAGTGGGGGCATCTTGGCTGGTTTTTCCATAACTTGGCTATTAAATGAATAGTGCTGCAATAAACATGGGTGGTGCAAGTGCCCTTTGGAGTAACCTGTGACATATTCCTTTTGGGTATATCCCCCAAGAGTGGTAATTGGTTGGATCCACATGGGCAGATCTATGTTTTAGCCTCACTTTTTTATTTTTTTTTTTTTCCATTTTTCTTTATTAATTCATATGTGCATACAAAGGCTTGGTTCATTTTCCCCCCTGCCCCACCCCTCCTTATCCACCACTCCACCCCCCGCTCCCCCTCAAATACCAGACAGAAACCTATTTTGCCCTTATCTCTAATTTTGTTGTAGAGAGAGTAATAAGCAATAATAGGAAAGGACAAGGGGTTTTGCTGGTTGAGATAAGAGCTATAACAGGGCATTGACTCACATTGATTTTCCTGTGTGTGGGTGTTACCTTCTAGGTTAATTCCTTTTTGACCCTAACCTTTTCTTCTAGTTCCTGGTCCCCTTTTCTATTGGCCTCCGTTGCTTTAAGGTATCTGCTTTAGTTTCTCTGCGTTAAGGGCAACAAATGCTAGCTAGTTTTTTAGGTGTCTTACCTATCCTCACCCCTCCCTTGTGTTTAGCCTCACTTTAAATCTTAAGTTGGCTCCTCTGTGCTTGGAGCCTGGGAATCCTCAGTTTGAGGGGTGAGGCCAGAGGCTCCCCTCATAGTACCAGCCTAGCCCCTGGAGCTCAGTCCCTCCTTCATCCAGCTGCCACTGGCCTTTCAAATGGGCTGCCTAATGAGCACTAGATCCATTTCTGCAGGCTAGCACCTATCTGCTTTAAGCCAGTACTTGGGACTCTGCTTCACTGTATAAGTAGGGAGATATTTGTTATCTGTTTTACACTTACTTGACATGTTTAAAAATAAACAGCAGCTCCATAAAGGGGCTGCCCTGTGTGCAGAGGGTAGCCAGTGACAGAATCGGCACTGTTTTCCAGTTAGTGGGGACAGCTTGTGGCAGGGTAGAGCATCTGCCACAGCACCTTGAAGGAAAGACCCAGACTGAGAGTGGGGTTTGAGAGCAGGTGCTTTGGAGTAGACTAGCCTGGGTTCAAATCCTCATTCCTCCACTGGTTAGCTCTGGGGCAAGAGGCAGTCACTTTGTTCCTTTGCACCTCAGCTTTCCCATCTGAAGCTCCAGGTAGGCTCTATTTTAGTCTAACCCCAACTGACAGTTCTGAAATGAGGTACTGCAAAAAGTGTGCTCAGCACTGGTGCTGGACCCAGGGTAAGCGGAGTCTTTTTTCATCTTAAAATAAGGGGACAAATAAACAATTTGTCTTTAGTTCTGGCATTTAATGCTGAGGACTGGTTTATTGCACCCACACCTGCTTGACATCAGAAGTGAAAGGGCAGATGTGTTCACATGTCTGACAGAATACCCAGAGAGAAAGTGTGCCCTTGGGTGCCACATGAAGGCTCAGGCGAGCCTGGTTATGATCCTGATGTATGAGCCAGGCCCTCTCATGGTCACTCAGGAGATCACCTCTTGCCTAAGTGTCTCTGGTTTCTAGCTCGAAACCTCAGGACATTCCTGAATTTGAATTAAACTAGTATATACAGAATGGAAATACAAAGACCTGGCTTTGCATGTGGGCTCCACTCCTTATAACTGTTTGCTCGTGAGAAAGTTACTTAACTTCTCTGAGCCTCAAACTTCTCTCTGCAAAATGGAGACAGAGTCATAACTTCACAGGGTTATGTTACATCATGCATGGAACATTATGTAGGTGATGCAGCCAACATGGGCTGAGCTCTACTTCATGCTGGGTGTAGCAGGTGAAAACGATGGGCTCTGATCTTCAGGAACTCAGTCTGGGGAGGTGGCAGGTGCATGAATGCATCTGGGAACCATCCAGCATTCATGATTTCTGTACCCTAAAACAAGCATGTTAGGCCAGGTGCCAGCAGATCACACCTGTAATCCCAGCTACTCAAGAGGTGTAGATCAGGAGGATTGCAGTTCAAAGCCAATCCACGCAAATAGTTCACAAGCCCTTATATTGAAAAAACCCATCACAAAAAAGGGCTGGTGGAGTGGCTCAAGGTGTAGGCCCTGTGTTCAAACCCCAGTACTGCAAAAAAACAAAAACAAAAGTCAGCGTGTTAGATCTGACAAAGGATTTCTCTGGGAGCAGGCACCTGGTGAGGCCAAAATTTCTGGAACACTGTGAGAATTTATGGGGCAAGTATAATGAAATACCTGAAATTAGGAACGCAGTGAATGCTGGACTCTGTCCACTGTGGCAATACCTCCAAGGTGCTGAGTGCCCTGCAGAGGGGCATGTCAGGGGCTGCAGGGACACTAAGGTGGCAGAGGGACAGGAAAGGGTGGACACAAGTGAGACTTCTTAAGAATTTACCAGGTACACCTGGGAGCTGAGAAACCAAGTTACTAATGGGTTCCTCGTGGAGATGGGTCTGTGCAAAGGTCCTGGTGTTCCACCTCTTTGTCTTCCAGCACAGGCTGTGGCACAGCCAAAGGAGCCTGAGGGCTGCTGTATTCAAGGCTCCTACACTCATTCACCAGTTCACTAGCTTTCTCTCTCACTTAAGTTAGCACATGGCACATGGGGGGACTGCTGTGATTTCATTGTGCAGATAACCTGAATGCACTCTGATTTATCATTTTCTAAAAGTAAAGCCTCCACCAAATGCTGGTATTGATTACAGCAGAATTTTTGTGGCCTATTTCACCACTGAACTCCCCCACAAGGGCAGACAGAGCTGGGAGGGTGCCATTTCTGGGGCTAGACTGTACCTTAGTAAAAAGCAGATGGTCCCTTTCACTGAGCTTTGACCAAACCAATCAACAAAGAGTTCTTATCAGGCCTCGGTCCTGGAAAACAAAACCCCTCTGTGCTCTCTCCAAAAGAGACATTATTCCCTGCACATCACTCATTCAGAAACACCTTTGCAATTAAATACCTTTGCACTCAGGCCCTGGCAGCTTCTAAACCTTTCATTCAGCAATTTCAGAGCCATCCCTCTTTTCCCCATTGTTTTGGCTACTCAGCATGATGCATGACTCTCCCCAGGGGACTAAGGCAGCCACTGGCCCTTATCTGAAGCTGTACTCAGCACTTGTTCCTGGCTACCTCCAGTCAGCAACAGTCTGGCCCCAGGAGGGGCCTGCCAACAGCTGGGGTGAGGGACCCGCAGCTCCTGGCTTCACACCTGCACTTTGTCTTGTCTCCCTGGGGACATTTTGGTTTGGATAAGGCCTGGGCCAGAGGACACACTTGTGCCCCTCTCCCCATGAGTCCTGCTGCTGCTATTAAAGAGGACAGCTGCCCAGGTCATTCTCAGAAGCACAAAATAAGGGGCAGGTGGCCTCTGAGCTCACCCCAGGCAGACCCCACACATGCCAGCCTCCTATCACAAGGTTCATCCTAGACATGACTAGGGAAGCACTTAATAACCCTACCACCAGCTGCAAAGCAAGACCTTGCTGGAAACAAATA